CATATTGTCTTGTGAAGTTGGTCCCGTGGGAGGTTTGTTTCTATAGTTACTGTGGTTCCTGAGGCAGTTTCATTTTTTTTACTTCCTCTTTCCCTTTTCTGCCTATTACCACCTATAGTCGGTGGGAGAGCAAAAGACTCTCTTTACATTACAACTGTGATGCTATTTGTGGTGGAATTTGACAACACTCTCCAATTGCCTATTGTTCGCTGCACCTGTGATGACATCCAAAGTTCAGTGTATTTGCATGTACACCTAACTCGCCATATGCACAGGTTTGTCTTCTCGGCTGTAATTGTTTTCAATAAATAATACCAGTGACAACAAAATAAATAAAAGACATATTCTACTGAACAGTATTATCACATAACAATATTGCATATTTCTTCTCTCCTGCTACTAATGGTGATTTATATATATATATATATATATATATATATATATAATTATTTTTTTAAAAAAATTTATAACATAATAAATATGTTATAGAATCACTACAAAAATAAGCCATTTTGTTTCAACACCCTAATGTCTTATCACTATGATGAAAAGATAAAATAAATGGTTTAAAAAATTTCAAATTAAACCATTTATTTTACTCAAGAAAACACTTGATAAGACATTGAGGGTGTTGAAACAAAATGGCTATTTTTGTAGTGATTTTATAACATATTTATGTTATAAATTTTTTTTATAAATAACGGCTCTACTTTGAATTGAGCACTCTTTTAAGAATAGTAATTGTTGGTTATTGGAATTCATTCTGTATACACCAATTATATACTTGTGTATATATATATATATATATATATATATGACCATCCAAGCTTACTTGAGCCTGGGCATTGCCTTACATTCATTTTTGAAGACACACACATTTTTCAGGGTATTTTTAGAAAAAAAAGTGCGTCTTGTAAGCTGGAAAATTACTGTGCATTAAAAAAAAAAAAGCTAAAATATATATAAAAAATAGAGTTAACCATTATCTTCCCTCCTTATCCATATAAACTACTCCTTAATGTAATCCTCTACCTAGATTGACAACTGGGCCTTGTACAGGGTGAACCTTACTGTGTGTTAAAAAAAAAAAAAGGCTAAAATATAACAGAATTGTGAATCCAATGTTTTCAATAAATAATACCAGTGACAACAAAAGACACTGGCTGGGAGTTCATAATACGATTTCTCATTTAGCTGGCTATCTTTTTCTTCAACTGAACTGCTATCTCTCTAACTTCATTGGCCTTTGAGCTTGGCGACTCCTGATTCTTCACTACCAATTCTGTCACTGGCCGCACCTCTAGAAGCCTACCTACTTCTTTCATAGCTGGACCCAATTTCTCTGACTTCCTACCTCTCTCTGCTTATATGGATAATCCTGGGGTCCCACCCGCTCCATTCACTTGTCTTTCTGGAAGATTTAGAACCACCCCAAAACAATATGGGCAGTTAAATCTTTAAAGGTCTACTTTTATGACTATCTAAAATGATTGATAAAATTTTTACGTTTCCCAATTCAAAGGCAGCTGTAGATATAAATCCCACAAAACACTGACAATTAAGTTTACTCAAAGTTGGACTGTAAACAAAATTCGTATAAAACTTCCAATAGCTGAGTGGACTTAAAAGGAAGGAATTTATCTCCTTATCTTCTAAAGATGTGTGAGAAATCAGATTGTTACACAACACATTTATTTTAAGTAATATTTTCTATCAAGAATCTGACAGCAAGGCCTCTGATTAGGAGGTTTTGAGGAACATGGCACAACCACGTAATTGCTGTTGTCTTCTGTCACTGGCCACTGGGTAGCTCTCACTCCTCTGGTCGCCTACCTCTCTCATGGCTAGACTCACTTTTTCTCAACTTCCTGCCTCTCTCGGCTTATATGGATAATCCTGGGGTCCCACCCGCTCCATCCTCTTGTCTTTCTGGAAGATTTGGAACCACCCCAAAACAATATGGGCGGTTAAATCTTTAAAGGTCTACTTTTATGACTATCTAAAATAATTGATAAAATTTTTGTTTCCCAATTCAAAAACAGCTGTAGATATAAATCCCATAAAACACTGACAATTAAGTTTACTCAAAGTTGGACTGGAGACAAAATTTTGTTAACTTTTTCACATTTACTCATTATTTATTATTGATTAGTTTATTATTTATTTATTATTACATTTCCTTGTGTTTATATCTGCATTTGTAGTTTCTTTATTTACTTAATTTCTTTACTAATTTATTGACAGTTTTTTTTTCCTTATTTTATTTTACTTATTTTTTCCTATTCTTTTTTGATTTTTAAGCAATGTCGTAAAAATGTTTTTCTGACTGCATTTAGATATGAGTCCCGATCATTTATTTAGTCTTTTTGTTACGAAAGAAGCTTATGTCAAGAACTCATGTTTGAAATATTTGTAAAGACTTTTTTTTTAGATTTTTTTCTTGAAAATTCAAAAAAAATTATGTTGAAAAGATAATCTAAATTTTTTTCTATTTCCAAATTTTTACACAAAATAAAATTCAATTGTATGTTGGATTGTAATCATTAAACTCCTAAATAACATACTTTCAACACAGGCTCATATAAACACTTGGCAATTATAATTTTTTTTTATAATCAATTTGCGATTTTTTATGTTGAAAGAAAGAAAATCAAAGAGAACACTTCATGTAAAGGTATCATTACATGTCAGTCATTCAAAACAGCTGTGAAAATATGAAATATATTAAACTAGAAGTTTTTTTTTTTTGCAACATGATAACACGTGTTGAAATCCACACAGTATTTAATATTGTTGAAATTAACACTAACATTTTTGGTTGAGATTTACAAACTCTACTCTCCCTACTGTGCTTATATTTACAGTGCTACTATTTTTTATTACATTTTACTAGAATGTAATCCAATATATAAACTTAAAGAAAAAATATGCAAAAATACAATATTGCATTTTTATTAAATAAGTATTTATTTTAATCATTGTTTTTAAATAGTGGGAATATTTTGTATGTTAAATAATAAAACTTAATTTTTCTCAAAAAATAAATGAAAATTTATTGTACTAAGCTACACACCCTAATAAAAACAAGTGTATTTTGTACTCATTTACCTGTTTGCACTTCTTGCCAAAATTTGGTTTCAATCAGTCAATGTAGGGCTAGTTTAGAGGGTGTGACAGATGAATTAATGGAAGTCACTGAATTTTATATATAGAGAAATACTTTTAAGGGAAATTATACTACAAAAAAAAAAAAAAAACAAAAAGAGAAAAAAAGAATTGGTATGTCTTAAGTTTATAAAGGTTCTAAAATTTATTATGAAAACCATTTAATTACAATAAATTAGCAGCTGGATTCATCTGAGTTAAACTCATGACTAAAAGTATTTTATTTAGTTTAAGGTCTTAAGACAGAGTTAATCAAGGAGTTCCTACCATCAAGCTTCATTCATTGCTAAAAAAATTAGTTAACTAAAATGAATGAACCTTCCAGGAAGAATTTTGGATTAAAGGAATTTTATTTTTTTCAATACAGCTCACTAATGCTGAGTATTTCGGTCATCAAAATTAAGCTACAATTAGTCAGATTACTTTGGTATGTGACAGGAAGAGGAAGTAATTAAACCACTTCTCTTGGCCCTGTTACTATGTACATATGCAAACTGATTTCGTAACCTGACACCCATAGTCACAATCCAGAGAGGAATACAGATCAGCAGATAGATAAGATTCTTAGGCATGCAAAATAAAGAGTCAATTAGCTGCCCAGCTTGACATGATATTATAATTAATTGGTTGCGAATTCATTTGAAGGGAAAGTGAAGGAGTCCTGTACAAAGTAAATTACTCATATGGGAAATAGAAGAAACAGATAAAGCAAGTTGCAATACCAGGCCATTAATACCCTTTCAAATGGGGTTTTTGAATCTGGATCAAAAAGTGGGAAGTGAACCAAGATAAATGATAAAGATTTATCATGGCTGTTCCTTGCTAAACATTGATATCCCAGAATGCTTTGAATCTCTTTAAACAACACTGAGGATGATGAGGAAAAATAAATTGCTTGGCAGTTTAATAACGTGAATGGATGAGGGGAGGGGGTAGATGATTTCATTAGGCCGAAGATCAGTTCAGATTAATAATTGCAATGTGAGTGAGTAGACCTCTCATCAATTTCTGTTCACCAACTTGTCTGTTAAGACGGCAACATCAGAAAGGAGTAAAAAAAAAAAAAAAAAAAAAAAATTTGATACAGCAATTGTATCAGGCCCCAACCACCTTAATGGACAAGTACTGGACACGAATTGACTGGAAGAGTTTTCATATACTTATCGATGTTTTATTATTCACAACTGTTTTCTTGTTCTGGAATTTAAATGACAATTTATATTTCAAAATTATGATGGAAATATATTTGCACTGTATTTTTTTTCTTTTATAAACTTCTAAAATCTTTAAATTTTACTTTTCTTCCTTTACTTTTCCTAAAGTATACCTCGTCTCTCCGGATGAGCCTTGCAAGTGCCCTAACCCTTTCACTGATAGATTTTTCCCAGGGTTGTTTATTCAAAAAGAAAACAATTATAACAAAGACAAAATATATAAAATAGAAAAGATTTATTTAAGAGAAAAAAAAAATGCTTATTTTTTTTTTTTAAGCTGAAGAATAAAATGAGGGCATAAATAAAAATTCTTGTAAAGATTTTCAGGAGGTCAGTTTTTGTTTTGAAAAGTTCATCTCCTGTGCTGAAGTCTCCGACTCTTGCTGTTGTTTCCGCAATGTTCTTTTTAGGATTTTCTCTTCCATTTCAGCGTATTCCTCAGCAAACAATGTCTTCAGGGGGTTGTTGAGATGTGGCAGCAAAGGCAAATCACAGAATGATAGCTGAATAAATACAAACAATCAATACATCATGTAATTAAAGAGAAAATAGAGAAACATATTGTAAAAATATTGTAACATAATGATGGTTACCTTCTACCTGTTGAGAAGTGTCACTCAACTAAAGAGGGTTTAAGGCAGCCAGTGATTTAAGTGATAAATGATACAAGGTCTTATTTTGGGATGTGGAACCAGGAGAATGATAAAGAAAAGGAGAGAGAGAGAGAGAGAGAGAAAGAAAAGGGGAGAGAGAGAGAGAGAGAAAGAAAAGGAGAGAGAGAGAGAGAGAGAAAGAAAAGGAGAGAGAGAGAAAAGGAAAGAGAGAGAAAAGGAGAGAGAGAGAAAAGGAAAGAGAGAGAAAAGGAAAGAGAGAGAAAAGGAAAGAGAGAGAAAAGGAAAGAGAGAGAAAAGGAAAGAGAGAGAAAAGGAAAGAGAGAGAAAAGGAAAGAGAGAGATAGAGAAAAAGGGAAAGAGAGAAAAAGGGAAAGAGAGAAAAAGGGAAAGAGAGAAAAAGGGAAAGAGAGAAAAAGGGAAAGAGAGAAAAAGGGAAAGAGAGAAAGAAAAAGGAAAAAAGAAAAGAAAGAAGAGCTTTCTTATTGACATGATATAATCCCTGCAGATTGTAATGTTATCTTTGAAGATTTTCAAATACTATCAAAATACAACGATCATGAAGCAGAAATCTCAAAAATGTGGCACATGAAAACATCAATAATTCCAGTTGTACTTGGAGCCCTCAGATTGACTGGAAAAAAGGTTAGACTCATTGAAGGAATTCCTGATTAGCCCATGCCATAAAGAAATAACCAAAAATTGTACTCACAAGTACAGCATTACACATTACAAAGAGCTTTATCTATGTAAAATGAGTGTAATCTTAGGATTTTACTTTTTAAAAAAATGATATGGAAAATGTCATGAAGTTATTTCTGACCTTAGGTCTCTGGTTGCAACCCAGAAGGAAATGTGTATACAACAAAAATCAAAGGATATAATAACTACATTATTCAGACTGTTATCCTCATTATCATATTTGCAACATTTTGGTTGTTGTATGCGCCGGTCTTCTTTAGGTGATTGGAATTTTAAACTGAACCCTTTATTTCATCCACCAGAATAGATTGTTCTAGTTCCACATGCCATGCCTCTTCTGAATGTCTCAGTTATTTCCCTTTTACTCTCCAAGTATTTCCGTTCACCACTGCTGTAGCCTGTTATTGAACTCACAACCAAAATACTTGTTCATAATAAATCAGTTAAAAGTAAATTGACTTCTGTAATGAAATGACAATGATACTCATTAGCAAAAGGTAATTACTGTTCTTGAAAAATTAATTAATATTAAACATTCCATGATGAAATGTGTATAGAATTTGACCAAAGTTTTCAGAGCTAACTCCAAAAACTCTTTTTGGTATCTTGTCTTTATAGCCAGTAATACAAGAGACAGTGAAAGTTTTACAAGTATAAAAATATAACAAAAACAACTTACACACATATTATCAAAAGAAATTCCAACTTTATCTGAAAATTTATCACTGATAATTGGAATTTTGGAATAGCGCTGACTGAAATGGTTGAGAAGAATAAACTTGGCATTCATTTTCATTCCAATGTTGATGGCCTGCGAAGTTGTGCTAAAATTGGAAAATTCAAAGACTTTTCAGAAGAATACAATTTGCTCAGAGAAAATGTTCATACATTAAAAAACATTTCATTGTAAATGCATTTATTTCTATCTGTAGTTTGTGGTTTGCAAATCAAATTCTATCCAGGGTTTGATCTTTGATGCTGACTGAACTATTATCAAATGAATTATCATTTAAAAAAGACATTCCTGTAAATGAAATGATCACATCTGCTAAGTTTGATCAAGAGAAGAGAGAGAGAGAGAGAGAAAAAAAAAGAGACATGTATTTCTATTTAATTTGGGGATAGGTTATGAATTATCAGAAGCTAGACTGAAAGCTTAATTTCCAGATGAAGATAAATCTTATTAAATACAGGTGAATGTCAAAAAGTTTTCTTTTTCCAATAACCAACAAATACTATTCTTAAAAGAGTAGAGCAAATATAATTATTTATTCAAAAATTATTACATAAAAATGTTATAAAATCACTACAAAAATAGCCATTAAGTTGTAATGGAGTTCAGAGCAGTATTAGATCTTAACCTTTATTGCAAGTTAATTTCAATAAAAACAAAATAAATAAAAAAACATTTATTTTTTTCCTCAGTTTCTTTAAATAATTTTAAACTTAATATAGATTAAATTTAAAATTGGTAATTTTTAATCTTATAGTACGAGTTAATATTTATTAGTTAGAATTAATTCTATTTTAGTATAACCCTAACATTAAAGCATTAAATAATTATTATAACCAAAGTTTGTTGTCAAATTTTTTGAATTCTCGTATACTTGTATTTTGATTGGTCATTCCAGTTTATGTAATTTATTTCCCTAGCAGGGTGTTTGATTGATTTGAACCTTTTAAAACCTTTTTATTCTACATTCAACACCATCACTTGATAAGACACAGAAGTGTTGAAACAAAATGGCTATTTTTGTATCGATTTTATATATATATATATATATATATATGCATGTTTCGTTAAAAACGACAGACAAGGTAAACAGTTGAGCTTTTTATTTAATTTTCTTTGTTCTGACAAGAGCCTTTTTTCTGGACAAAGAGTGTGTAAGAACTGTCATATGAACTTAGCCAAAAAAACAAACTACCATTCTTAGATATCCTCGTTGAACATAACAATAACACTTTCATTACATCATTATACAAAAACCCACTAGCAAAAAAACTCGTGCCACCTTAATTTTTAAAAAATGTCCACTTAGGTACAAAAAGCTGTAATAAAAAACTTTCTAAATAGAGCTCACCAGAACTCATCCTCTCGACTACTCTTTCTCAAAGAACTTAACAACGTTAAACAAACACTAATTAACAACGGTTTCCCTAACTACCTTATAGACCAACAAATTAGAATATTCCTCCCCAAAGCAAGTAATAATGATAGCGAACACACAACTAAAAAATCACATACACATTTATTACAAAAACCAAATGCATATTAATTACAAGCAAGATGAATCTGCTCTAAGACATATTATAAAGAAATATACTACTTATTGACCCGGATAAAAAAAAATCAAACTTATTATCTATTATAAAAATTTAAGACAGCCAACCTTATCCTCAAAAATAACAACACACCAACGAAGTCAAAATTACAAAGCTTAACATTATCTATGAGTTCAAATGCCCTTTAAGGAACTAATCTCACCAAACCGGACTCATAAATAATTACATTTACACAACCACATGTTTATCCAGACGTCTTACATTACACCTATCTGATCACAGTTCCATCAGAACACATTAAAAACACACTCAGATTTATTTTGATATTAGGAACATACTAGTAGAAAACACTAATATATTAACTGCATCCACTTGCAAAAAAAGACTAAAAATAATGGAAGCTCTAATAATAAAAAAGAAAAGCCAACTCTTAACAATATCAATTATGAACAAAGCCACAATGTGCTAACTGTATTGGAAACTAAAACATCACTACCAACACTGAACATACATAGAACACACACTCTACTTGATAATGAATATCCATCATTGAACCATCTTGATAATGGCTAAAAGTATAGCCGAAAGCGCTCGAAAAACAGAACATTCGGACAGTTCTTACACACTCTTTGTCCAAAAAAAAAGGCTCTTGTCAGAACACAAGAAAATTAAATTTTCAACTGTAGTACCTTGTTTGTCGTTTTTAACGAAACATGCATAAAGGAAGGATTGCTGCCTAATTATACAAATATATATATATATATATATATAGATAGAGAGAGAGAGAGAGAGAGAGAGAGAGAGATCAAAGATAATAATATCAAGTCCAAAGTGATAATCAATTAGGTCTTTTTTAATATAAAATATTAAAAAGATAGATCCATGAAGAGAGCTCAATGTATCAAAATACAGAGCAATATGTTAGACATCAAAGGAAAATGTTTAACACATCATTGAAAAATTGCCAGATTTTTTGTAAACTGTGTTAAAAATTTGAAGTTTGTGTAAAAAAAAAGAAATACACTTTTTAAAATACTCCTAAAATATTTCTGGCCTATGATTTTATGGTTTTGTTGCCTTTTTCACACAATTTGTCCTTTAATCATCTCAATTAGCAAATTCATCGAGAAATATATACAACAAAAACAAAGTGACCATCAGAGATGCTGAAAAATTCTCGGGCCCAACTCTCAATAATGAAGCATCAGAATTTGGATTGGGAAGAAATAAAAATCTTATGCCCCAGCTGTGTTGCATGCACAGAATAACAATCTTCTAGGTTAGGCCATGAAATTTTTTGAACCCGACAACAGCTGTATATATTTACAGGCAGATTACATCTTGGTATTTCCTACCGAGATATAAATTTAATCAGGTTGAAAATGGCAACAAACACAAAACAGCCAAGAGGGAGAAAAAAAGAGGAAAATGAATAAAAACCTGTGAGTCTTAATCTTGGCTTCTTCTTCAAGATCATCCTCCATTGTTGCTTCATGAATCAAAAGGTCACAGTTTTTACCTTAAAATAACAGAAATAAACAATATGACATACTATAAATTGGCCTATGTAAAATGGCATGGTAAGAAAGGAAAAAAAAATGAAAAAAAATGAAAAAAAATAAAAAGGTTTTATTCTTTACTTATATTTACGTTTTTTATTGAAAAACAAAAAATGAATTTTAATAATAATAATAATCAAGAAATAAAACAAACAAACTACTCATGAAGTTAATGTTCATACAATGGAAACAACCACTGCACCATGGCACACTAATGTGCTGCATGATCTTCTTAAATTTGCTGCGAAATATTGTCACGGTGTGTGTAAGTTGTAATGGTACAGTGTTAGTATTTGAATAAATGAATAAGTATTAAACTTTTTTCCCACATTAGCTAAAAAGGCTTTATCAGTTTTATTGCAATTTATTTTGCTTTTTATTTATGTGAATTTGGCTTCTCAACCCTAAATAACATAAAAAATAAGAAGTTAGAAAAACTACATTCAACTGAAGAAGAAAAGAAGGTCTGATTATCGCACATTTGACCAAACATTGAAAAAAAATCACAAAAAACACCAGGCACTTGTTTGTCACTAAAAAAGCTGCACAAATAGTTGAATAAAAACATTGAAATAAACTAAGTTCATATTTGTGTGTATTTTTTTTAAAAAATACATGGTTTTATTTCATGACATTTAAATGCATACCGTTTAAAAAAATTGTTAAGTTTGCTGTGATATTTTCATTTGCTCCTAGGTGTGCTGTTGCTATCAAAAGTTTAAGAAACACTGATTTATGGCAAGAAACATCAACTCATAGACTTGAATGCCATTTCCACTGAAGGTTTTCAGCTTAACTAGAATTAGTTCTGGTTATTCAAGAATACAGAATTTACAATATGGCTGAATCTGAACCAAACTTGCTAAGTTGCTGAAAACCGACACTTGACTATTCTCAGGAGATTCTAATGTGATTATTAATAGTACCCAAGTGTTTTTATATTGTTATGGTTGAAACTGCTTGCCCAAGTGAATAGTCGTTTTGCATAGAGCCTTGCAAATATTTTAGTTTTATAGTTGCCAACTTGTACTAAAAGGAATTTAAATCTTATAAACAGCTTTACTTAAAACTTGTCCCACTAAAATTGTTTTTTCTACATACCAGCATTGACCAATCTTTCACAAGGCATAGTATCTCCGGAATAGACTATTTTCCAGTTTGAGGAGTGAGACAGTGACACACCAAATGCGTTTTTACAATGATCAACTTCTACTGGAACAAACTGCAATAAAAGAAAAAGGAGGAGGAGAATAAATGCATCAGTTTAAAATGTCAACATTGCATTTTTGGAAACAGTTTATTCACTTTTGTTTATTATTAAAGTCAATATATTATATAAACAGAAAACTTTTTTTTTTTTAAAATTCTGGTTAACATTTTCCAATTCAAGACAAAGATTTATAGTTAGCAATCCTTTACAAAGAGAGTGAGTATAAATGTCATGTGGCGATAAAGGGACAAAGTGGAAAGACTTTTCAACATGTTTTACAATCATGTATTAGGTTTGGTATCAGAATGAAAGACAAAATTGTAAGAAAAATGTATCAGGATTTTTGAGGATAAGAGGTGTAATAAACTAAATAACCTTATCAGTTCCGATGTGCAGAGACCAAAAAATATTTTTCTTATTATATAAAGGGTGTTCCAATAACTTAGACTGATTTTAAATGTGAGTTAAGTTTAAGAGTCTAATGATTTTTTTGCTTTTCTTTCAGGTTTGGCAAATATTTGGGCGATATTATTTTACACACATAATTACCATGACTTAAATAACATGATCCAACAAAGAAATAAATAAATTTTCACCAATAAAACTGATTTATTTACTGCTGATATTAATCTGTCTTAATGAAACATCCTTATATATAATCCGTCTTAATGAAACACCCTTTATTAGAGTCTGATGAATTAGAAGCCATTGTCAAAATGCAAGATAAATAACAACTGGACAATGAACAGAATTAATAAAGTTTGCAATAAAAAGAAAAAGGATCAAAAAATGAAATGGCAACAATCCTGCAAGCAAGTAAGCAAATGATATATTTAGAGCAATTCAACAGGTAAGAAGGCAAAAGAGTTCACAAAGTTGGTGTTTGCACACAAAGCAAGGTCAGACAAGCGAACGCAGTAGGTCTGTCTAGTAGGTAAGGCAGATCTGGACTGAGGTTATTTAATCTCACCTACCCACAAGGTAGGATGTGCCACAAGGCCGTTTTTTTATGTGAGGCAAATCCGAGCCCATAGGCTTGGTCAAAATTTCCCTCACAGACCCTGTATACACAGGGCCAGGTTTGTCTACTTCCCCAGATTTAACTCTGCCCTTCAGCATAGCCTTATCTGGTTTCACAAGTCCGTCGTGAACTGCCTAAGTCAGCAGATCTGAACTGGGTCATGTCAAAATGCAAGCCATCTCATTTTATTGGCTAAGAAAAATTTCCCAGCATGCATTTTGTGTACTTCTAACTATGAAAAGGGAAGGGGGGGGAAGTTTTGCAATCATTCCCCACTTTTACTTTTTGATCTCAGCTTAGTCAGACTTTGTTCCCCCCACCCCAACTCCAATGTTTAATTTTTCCTTCCCCATTCCATTAGTGAGTGTGCTGCTGATGAATGGCAGAATAGAGTGGACACTCTTATTATTTGGAGGGGTGGACGGGTCCTACTAACATCCGTTTTGTTCTAGTTTGAATATTTTGTTGCATTCTCTAGTTTTGTTTTTGGGTTCATCCCCCCCACCATCATTTTGTAAAAAAAGAAAAAAGACATTATAAATTTTTACATCATGGGGTGTTTTGTAGGTCCCTTGTGAATATGTTGTATTTTGGTACATGTAGGAGCGAGGGGTGATTGACAAGTTCTTGTGGTGTTTGAGTATATTGTATTCAATGAATGGGTCATGTTTGTTATTAACTATGACAGTACCAGTCTTTCTCCCCTTCCCCTTTGGCCTTGTGCCACAATTTTTGTGATTTTACATGAATAATCATTCCCCCACCCTCTAGTTTTTCATCTCGGCTGGGTCAGACTTTGTTCCACTCCAATGTTTACTTTTTTCCTTCCCACTACATTAGAGAGTGTGTTTCTTGATTTTGTTGAACTGCAGAATACAGTGGCCACTATTATTATTTTGAGGGGGTGGACAGTTACTGTTAACATCTGTTTTGTTTTAATTTGAATATGTTATAAAAATAAAATAAAAAAAAAAAGTCATTCAGTTGAAAAACAATGAAAATACAGATGAGAAATGCATTATTTATTGTTTTTATTTTCCCCTCATAACATCTTAATAAAATTTCACATTGTAGAGAAGACCAGGCGATAAATGTTGTTTATGATCAATGATAGTTTTATACTTGAAATGACTTACTTCAACTAAGTTAAGTTGCTGGAGAATGCTGGAATAGAGCTCAGCTTGTTTCTCTCTTTGATGCGGTAAAATCTTACCAAGTGGAACAAGCCTGTCAAAAGAAGAGAGGAAAATTAGAATAGATGGAAGGGTTTACCGAGAGAGAGAGAGAGAGAGAGAGAGAGTCTTGGTGACATGTTGAAAGAGAGATTCTGGTGGGGAGAGGCATCGAGAAATAGAGAGTCCAGGGGGAACATTGAGAGAGAGAGAGAGAGAGAGCCCAGGGTGACATAGAGAGAGAGATTTTGCGGGGGACACAGAGACAGAGAGAGAGAGATTTTATGGGGGGAGACAGAGAGAGAGAGTTTTATGGGGGACACAGAGACAGAGAGAGAGAGTTTTTATGGGGGACAGAGAGAGAGAGAGAGTTTTGGGGGGACACAGAGAGGGACACAGAGAGAGAGAGAGAGAGTTTTTATGGGGACACAGAGAGAGAGAGAGAGAGAGTTTTTGCGGGGGACACAGAGAGAGAGAGAGAGTCTGCGGGGGGGACACAGAGAGAGAGAGAGAGAGAGAGTTTTATGGGGACACAGAGAGAGAGAGAGAGAGAGTCTTTGCGGGGGACACAGAGAGAGAGAGAGAATGGGGGACACAGAGAGAGAGAGAGAGAGTCTTCTTTATGGGGACACAGAGAGAGAGAGAGAGTCTATGGCGACACAGAGAGAGAGAGAGTCTTATGGGCTTACACAGAGAGAGAGAGAGAGTCTTTATGGATGCACACACACAGAGAGAGAGAGAGTCTTTGGCGACAGAGAGACACAGACAGAGAGAGAGAGTCTTATGGCTACACACACAGAGAGAGAGAGAGAGAGAGAGATGGGCGACAGAGAGAGAGAGAGAGTCTTTATGGGCTTACAGAGAGAGAGACACACAGAGAGAGAGAGAGAGACAGTCTTTGCGGGGGACACAGAGAGAGAGAGAGAGAGAGAGACAGTCTTTGCGGGGGACACAGAGAGTCTTGGTGGGAAGACATCAAATGTTACATGTCACGTAACAATCTTTGAAATGTTTCAAAGAAACTAATATTCTGACAAACTATTTGATGACTCATAAAATTCCCTGCCACTATTTGCATTAAAAGCATTATAGCATTTGGCTAATAGTCAATGGGGTCTGAGTAAAAGTTACCACACGACCATGAGTTTGCATGTAAAAACCGTGGGATCATTTTTGAGACTTTTTTTTTTTTTTTTTTTTTTTACTTACCATCAATTATGCTAATAATTTAATCCTTTTAATGGCAATATAGAGTAGATAATCTTTTTTTTTTCTTTTTAATCATGGCAAATAATTTAAAAAAGTAAGACTTTTGTATTTTTTTGTTCTTTTGTATCTTTTTATTCTTGCATCTCTTTGATCCAAAGAAAAATTTATAAATTTTCTAGTTTTATTAAATTTCCATCTGCAAATACAGTTTTGTTTTTCTATAAGTTTAGAAAAAAAAACAAGTTTATTTTTTATGATAAACGATTTTATCATCATCCATATTTTGCAATTTGGCATTTTTTATTAAATAAGGCATTTTTATTAACATGGTTACTATTAACGACTAAAGTTGCAAAAATGTGAAAAGCAATTTGTTCACCACATGCCACACATTCACTATTACAAAAATAAAAACCTTTATAAATGAAAATACAAGACAATAATAAATGATATAAAAGCAGAGAGAGACATTATATATAAAAAAAAAAAAAAAAGGTTCAGGTTATAAATTTCAGATTTTTTATTATTATAAAATGACAAAGAAATCTTATCGAATGATGTTTGTCCTTAGTAATAAATAATTACAAACTGATTTTGAGATAGGAAACTAATTTCAGAGTTATTTTGATTTTTATTATAATTCAGCAAAAATTACTTGGAAAGAGTAAAGCTTTTTCTCTGTAAAAATATTTGCAGTTTTTTTGTTTAAACCCCAACCTCCCATTTAATCCACATTTCACTCACATATACACATAGACCAAAAAAAAAAAAGAAAAGCTGCTGTATTTAAAATGGTCTGGGTTTAAAAAGTAAACAGTTAAACATACTGAATCAAGTGTTGAATGTCTTCAATATTCTTAGCATAAAAATGAAGCCATCGGTTAATCTGAATTGGTGAGAGAAGAAGAACTGGGCTTGGAGTTTCTCCATTTTTTTCCATTGCTTTTGCTCGGTCCCGCAATAATCCAAACAGACCCTGACAAAAATAAAGTAAATTAAAAACAACGAAAAGATGCTTTTTCTTTGGAAATGTTAAAACAAATTATACATTAAATGGTGGTGCAGAAAAGTTAGTAACCTGTGACCCATTTCCCAAAAATCATTATTTTTAATGAGCAATCACCGAAATACCAATTTTTTTTAAAGTGAGTCTGGCTGAGAAAATTTTAGAATCCATTTGTATAAAAGTAATTTTTAAGCTCAAGTCTCAATCAAGAATAGCAGAAAATTAAATCAAATTGAATATTAAGTTGCACAATTATTAAATCTTTTGTTAAAGAGTTGCTCATTTTAATGGAAAACAACTTACTGTAAAATTTTAAAAGATATCTTAAACATTTTTACATTCAAGAGAAATTTTTTGTAAAAGAATTACAAATAATTTTTTTTTCTTAAATTAAGAAAAAAAAATTCACACTACAAAACCAAAAGTTTATCTGCAGTACTTGATTGAAAAGCTGACATGAAATCTGAATATATTTTCAGTTTCTGACAAAAAAAAGATAAAAGCTGTTTTTATTACTTGTAAAACTCAATACATGTAAAGAGCAGCTAAATAGTTTTTTTTTCCATTCAGATTATGAAAGTGAAATAATTTTTATTGTTATTTCACTTTCTATATGAAATGTGATACAATTCCCTTTTTGAAGTACAGAATTATTTTCAAGACCTAAAAGTAACAGTAATATATTTTCTATCATCCCTTCTTTTGCTTAAACCTTGTCTAAAACTTATTTATTCATTATAATTATCTCATAGTCTGGGAATCTATAAAAGAAAAACCTGATTGTCTGTGTGGAACTTTTTTACATACACACACACACACACACGTGTGTGTGTGTGTGTGTGCGTGTGTGTGTGTACAGAGCACGAGGGATAATTTGTTGTCTAAATTACACAAAAATGAAAATAACACTGACATCTCATTTTAACCAAAATTATACAAAAATATATCTTGAAATACTAAAGAGTAATTTAAATTTATTCAATAAAAAGAAAAGAAGAAAATCGCCATTGGCTTCAACCACAACCTCCAGATGACTTTGGAATCTCCTGCAACTCTTCTGGATGGTATCCTTGTTTAAAGTCAGTGAATGCTGCCATAATCCTTGCTTTCAGTTTATCTTTGGTGTTACAAGGAGTTTTGTTGGTCCCTCACTCAACTTCACCCCGCACATAATAATCAGGGCGGTTACAGTCTGGGGAGTTAGAAATTGTCTGACAGCCATGACTGTGTTCTCCTACTTGTGTGGCATGGTACAGAGTCCTGTTGCTAGACATAGGGTCTTCCAGCAGCCACCCTCTTAACCCAGGGCAGCACTACCTTCTCAAGCTCTTGTGGGAAGATGAATGGAGGCATAACATCATCACAAGTGATCACTCCAGACACCATGATGTTGAGTGGATATATCATCCAACTCTTTCTGAATCCTCTGCACTGTCTTCAGATTGACATCCAAACACTCTGAAACATTTGTTTTGGAGCTTCCGGCATGAATGCCAAGTAGTACAGTATGCAGTTGCCAAGTTTTTGGAGAGTGAATTGCAACATAGTGTTCCTTTCCTCACAGACGGTGCCAACTTACCCTACTATAATGTGCAGTTGACAAAATCAAAAACAACCAATGCACATGTGCAAAATTAAAAATATAAAATGGCAACAATATACCCATCACACCATATATATATATATATATATATATATATATATATATATACTAGCTGAATTAACCGAGCCTTTTAAATCGGTTTTATAATTTGTAGAGAAAAATTCTGCATTTCAATATTACTCAATGATCTTGCTGATGTGGCCTCCATCTTCTGGCTTTCTCCTTTTATATTTTGGATAAAAGTCATTCCCTTGTTCAAATTTAGATTTGATTTAAATCAAAGGGGAAAAAAAATTTCAGCTGGGGGTTTGTGCAAAAACAGCTTGATCTGACCACTTTGATATGTATGTGATGCAATACTTGATTGAATGAATTGATGAGCAGATTTCAACATTGATAAGATGGTTGAATTGCTGCAACAAATATATATTGTAGGGCACTACCCACTGATTGGGTACTTGCTCAATTTGACGTCCATATCGTCTGTATTTTGATCTTGCCAATGTGATTGCCATCTTCTGGCTTTCTCTTATATTTTAAATAGGAATCATAGGCAAATTTAAATTAAATCAAAGGGAAAAAAAAATTTTCAGTGGGAGGGTTTGTGCCCCCTTTGAACAAAATGATCTTGCCAATGTGACCTCCATCTTCTGGCTTTCTCCTCCTTTTCTTTGCTCAAATTTAAATTTAATTTAAATCAAAGGGAAAAAATTTAGGGGCAGAGGACCCCCTTTGATCAAAATGAAATATACTTATCCAAGTACCCTGGGTAATATAGGGTCAGTATATATATATATATATATATGGTAAGGTGGGGGGGAGTATCTCCAAAATCCTAGAAGGAGTTCAATAACAGACAGAGCTTCTCACTAAATCTCTGGCCTGAGCAATAAAATTAAAGTTGTTGAGAGGGATAAAAAAAATTTAAACCCTAAAAAAACCAAATAATTGGAAGATTTTATTGAACTTTTTGAAAATTATTCAATAATAAATAAAATTACTGATTCTTTTTTATTTTGTAGAAATATTTTAAGTATATCATTGAATTAAAACATACATGCAAATATGCGTACAATCAAAATGAAATTAAAATGGACATCTGTGTCCCAAAGGCTAATTTCCCTTTTTGTCTGGCCCTTAGGTAAAAGTGTATGACACTTTGAAGTCATTTTTATGACTTCTTGTCCACAAAGCCGAGCAACAAATACTAAATTTGTGAGATTCAAAAATTATTGTAAAAAGATTTGTCAAGAAATTTTATAAGTACAAAACTTGACATGCATAACAAAGTGAGGAAGATTTGAACTGGTTAAACATTTTATATATATATATATATATATATATATATATATATATATATATATATATATGTGTGTGTGTGTGTGTGTGTGTGTGTGTGAGAGATACTAACCAGATGATGATCAGCATGCATGTGGGAGATAAAGATGGCTTTCAAGTTACATAAAATATTATCGGTGACTTCATCTCCATAATGACGGTATAACTGACCAGCTGTACCTTCTCCACAATCAAGCAAAATACAACTGTCAGGTCTGAAATCAGAGGCAAAAATACAATAAAATACATAATCACAATTATTGACATACTAAAGCTGCATATCCAACAGTAAAGCAAATTTAGGTGCATTTGTGTGCTTGCAAAATATGTGATAGTCAAAATTATGTTGAAACACTGTTGAAGCTTTTCATTTTTAGCAAAAATTTTGTTAAATGAAGAACATGTGTGTTACTGTAATTTGGATCAAGGAAAGCAAGAATTTTTGCTGGCACCTTGGATGAGAATCTTTAGAAACCAATAGCACAGTCAAGTGGGGGAGACTGACTGTTGAGAAGAAGTTAATTCCCTTAACGAAAACCATTCTGAATTAAAATGCTCATTTTAAACTAATGATTAAACAACTGAAACTATACAATTATGTTAATCAAAGATTATTTAAATGAGAGAAACAATAATATTAGAGATGGATCCATTGACCAAAGAAGTAGGTGTTTTTTGAAGTGACATGGAATCAAAGACTCTGAAGTTGTCTTGGAGAAGATTTCAATAAATATTCTAATTTATTGTTCAACTTACTCAGTTTGCAGCAGAATCCCACTGACATTTCTTCTCTTACTTGGTACGGAAGACCCTGTTCCTAGGAATAAAATACGTGGATATTTCACAAGATTTTGGTCTGGAAAAAAATAAAAATAAAAAGAGAGGTTAATTTCATGTTTCCTGTCGAATGAGGCATAATTAAGATTCATTTGTTTGGATTTTTCATTATATTTTGAAGATAAAAATGATCATCAAAAGTTGCATAAGAGAATTAATGATCGTAAAAAAAACAATCAGAAAACAGAAATGACAAAAAGCAAAAACACTACTAAAAAAAAGAAAAAAAACTGAAGTTTTTAATATAAATATTTGTTGAAAATTGAAATTTATTTAAAACTTTGTTTGAGTGATTGTGTTTTGGATTTTGTTACATTTCAAACAGATTCATTCTTCAGTCATCATATAGTATATAATTCATAAAAAAAAAAAACATAAAAACAAAACATAAAAACAAAAATAAAAACAAAAAAAAAAAAAAACAAAACAAAAAAAAAACATAAAAACAAAAAACATAAAAACAAAACAAAAACAAAAAAAACAAAAAAAAACATAAAAACAAAACATAAAAACAAAACATAAAAACAAAACATAAAAACAAAACATAAAAACAAAACATAAAAACAAAACATAAAAACAAAACATAAAAACAAAACATAAAAACAAAACATAAAAACAAAACATAAAAAAAAAATAAAACAAAACAAAACAAAACATAAAAAAAAAAACAAAAACAAAACAAAACAAAAAAAAAAAACAAAACAAAAACAAAACAAAAAAAAAAAACATAAAAAAAAACATAAAAAACAAAAACACATAAAAAACAAAACATAAAAAACAAAACATAAAAACAAAAAAAACATAAAAACAAAACATAAAAAAAACAAAAACAAAAAAACAAAACAAAAAAAAACAAAACATAAAAAAACAAAACATAAAAAACAAAACATAAAAAACAAAAAAAAAAAAAAAACAAAAAAAAAAAAACAACAAAAACAAAACAATAAAAAAACAAAACAAAAACAAAAAACAAAAAAAAAAAAAACCCAAAAAACAAAACAAACAAAAACAAAAACCCAAAAACAAAAACAAAAACCCAACAAAAACAAAACAAAAAAAAACCAAAAAAAAAAAAAAAAAACAACAAAAACCCAACAAAACAAAACAACAAAAAAAAAAACCCAACAAAACAAAACACATCTACACAAAATGAGGTTTTATGTTTTCCTTTTTTCCTACAACTGACAAATACTGAAGGAGCTCCAAGAGAAGACTTTGGATGTTCAAACAAATATTTAGATTGTTAGTGACTCCTAAAGTTATAAAGAATTCATATTTTTTGTTTTTTTCCTTATGGTAACTTATTCAGAGAATGCAGTTTATATCTCTCATTTCTGAATGGGCAACAATAAAATTTCTTACACATCCTTAGAGGATAAATAAATAAATTCTTTTTCCTTTTAAGTCAATTACCAGAGTTTCTTAGGAATCTCATCTCCAGTCCACCCTTTAAGTCAATGTATTGACTAGAGTTTTCAGGATTCCAGTCTCCAGACCACCTTTGAATTGGCAAACATGAAATTCTGTTAGTGTTCTGTGATTTTAGATAAATGAAATTTGAAAAACTGACCACCTATCTAGCTTTTGGTTGGTCTCCTTTTCTGGAACACAAGTGGATGGATAAGAGATAGTGGGACCTCAGCCAGTGTACATATAAGAAGGGATATCAATCAGGAGCAGTCACTGAGAAATGGACAGCAAGCAGCAAGAAGTCAGCAGTTGCTGAGATCATGCAGTGAATGTGAGGGTACTTTTTTTTTTTCATGGCCAGAAGTTAGTAAGTTAGCAGTTCATTTTGATGAAGCTGAAGGAAGATTGCTGGTTGAGAAATCATATTGTTTGCTATTATTCTTTGTTGAATTCGATCATGGTGAAGCAGACAAGCCAGTGAATATACACATACAGCCAACTTGTGACCGACATTCGGAAGATGTCGCCAGAAGTGTATTAAAAGAATTTATTGGGAGAAAAGGAGGAGTGATAATGACAAATCTCTTATCCCGAGTATTTTGAAAGGCTCAAAACAAACAAAAAAAACCCCAACAAAACAAAAAACAAAAAAACAAACAACTCAAAACTTATTCTGGTGTAAAATTTGCAGAGAAACATTTATTAAAATGACAAAAAATATTTTCATCCATATACAAAATTTACAGTTTATAGGCCCTGCCCCAAATTTTCCTTGTGCGTCTCAAATAATCAAGGAAGGTTAACAATTCTTTCAAATATAAATTACCGTATTTTCTGGCTTACAAGATGCGCTTTTTTTTTTCCTAAAAAAATACCCTGAAAAATACGTGTGCATCTTCCAAGACGAATGTAAGGCAAGGCACAGGCTCAAATAAGCTTGGATGGTCGCCTAATTGGTTTGACTGATAGGGACGTGGATTTGTATATTGAGTCATTACGCTATAATGTTAGCTAGCTATCTAATTCAGCCTTTTATATGCAACCTCAGTACGTTGCTGTTTCAAGTATTTCCAAGACAACAAACCTTCCTGGAGCCAAGCCACAAACTTAAACATGCTCTGTTTACTAGCAGCAGCAGGAGCCTTTCTGCTCTTGACTAACATGTCATTGCCATCCAGACAAAATTGGACGAGTGATTAATGTAAATAATACGTGTTGCCATTATGTGAGGGATGCATGGTGAATGTGTTGTATGAGAATGACTTTTCTTTTCATCTTCCAAGCTGCAGCGTCTTGTAAGCCAGAAAATACAGTAGTTTTTTTTCTCAGAAAACTACAGTTTGTGTAAAGCAAATGTTTTCCTTAGCGGGGATATTTAGGACTATCTTTTTGAGAAACAGATCAATTTCTTTGCAACAATAGAAATTTATTTTGAAAGTTCACAATTCAAAATAAAACTGATTCAAAAGTTGAGTGTTGAAATTCAAAGGATTGTGTGAGAAAAGGTTGAACTCCCCCAGCAAAACCACTTTTCTGAAGTCCTTTTGACAAATGTTTTGACAAATATTCAGATAAACTCTGATGGATTTATGAAAGTCATTCTTATGAGAATTTAGAAAATTCTTTATTACCTTCTTCATCAACAGTGACAATGCAAGTGGTCTTACCATCCCAGATCACCATGCAGCCAATTTCCTTACCCAACAGCAGCAGAGCCTGATGACAGCTTTTTGGCCAAGCAGCCTAATGCCTTCTCTGCAATAGCAGACTTTTCACCTGAGCGGATTACCCCTTTCTGATCTATCCTTTTCTGCCTTTGCAGTCAAAATTTCCCATCCTATATAGCAAACATGTGGATCAAAACTGACTCATAAACCAATTCCTTGGTTTAAAAAAAAAAATAAATAAAATAAAATAAAAAAAGAGTCACCATCCAATCAAACCACACCCGTTTTCAATTCAAATTTGGCTGGTTTTGAAAAAAGTTAGGCCCATCTTGCAAAATTCTGCCACAGTTTTATGACATCAATTTAGAGTCTATTTTTTACCCAAAAAATTTTTATGCATCAATTTTCATTAAGTGGGCAGTGAAGTCAAAACCCAGAAGTGAAAGTTTGTTTCATGCTAAACACAATTGATTGCATTTAGTATGAAACAAGACTGCCACCTCTGGATGTTGACTTCAATGTCCATTTTTATATTTACACTCTTTCCCTGATATTGACCACTTTAACCCATAAATATAGCATACCTTAAAACTATATATATATATATATATATAAAATGCTATGCTTCATTAAGGCAGTTTCTTATTTAAAGAAACCATGTGAGTTACTGGAAGTTTATGTCCCTAGCAACATTTCTGTTTACCCCATATTACTTCCATTTCATCCTCCCCCAATACACCACAGTAACGTTCATCCTCCCCCAATACACCATCTGAGATTACAATGCCATTGGATAACAGCAGTTTTGAGAACCATTTTCTGGCCAGTTTTCATTTAACTCCTTCCTTTTTACATTGAGATGATTGTGTGTACACGGATATTGTAAGAATTATTTTTAATAAAAATGATAACATTAAAATTGTGTGAGGAAAAAAAAAAAAAGCATAATTAAAATATTGGAATTGTGTAAAAAATTATATAGAAAATATTTTAATAAAAAAGTTAATATTGAATTGTACTAAAAACTAATACACCAGAGTAACATTCATCCTTCCTCAATACACTACAGTAAGATTCTAAATTAGTTTTTTTTTTGTTTAAAAATAATTCTTACAATATCCGTGTACACACAATCATCTCAATGTAAAAAAGAAGAATGGCATTGTAATCTCAGATGGGTTTTTTTCCCCCGCTTTAAGGCCAGAGGCATCTAAATGTGCCCAGAAGTTTCACATGCTTACGGTCTGAGAGCACTCACATATTATGCCTTTATATTGCTTGGGGAACATATGGCTGCAAAATATTGTTGCAGTTTCTGTAACTAGCCAGTTTTTTTTTGTTTTTTTTTAAGTGAGTAGGTTGTTAGCTTACTGCACAACCCCCAACCATGTGGATCAGGTTTTGAATTCAGAGTTGTCCTTCTAGACCAGTTGCCACCCAAGGCTATAGAACCCAGTCTGTCTTGCTATTTACCCATAGCTGGTTGGGGGAGAAGAGGAGGATTCATACATTTCCCAAGAGAGTGCCCACATGTACCCATAATTTGGTAAAGAACTGTATTTTAAATGTACAGCATTAACACCCATCACATGATGAACTGAAATCTACAATGATGTAAAAATTATAGATTTCCAAACCCATGTCTCATAACGAGTAGAAACAAGGGGATTAAAAATAAGCGTTTAATTTCACCAACCCTGTCCTTTTGTGAGCTCATTGACTTTGGTATGGAAATGCAGAAGCTGTTTCTCAAATTCTGGTATTGCCCATGCTTCACTGACATAACTTGCATTGTCCATATATATACACTGGTCTCTGAAAGCAAAAAAGAAACAGAAAACCTATATTAAAAGAGAAATATGAAAATTAAATCACTAAAGTTTAACATTTGGTTCCATTATTCTTTGCTTGAAAAATAGCCAGACCTTTCTTGTAAAATCTTAATTTGTGCAAAGTTCTTTGATAGAGACTTGTCATTAATCACACAAGAATATTAGTTATTCATATGAGGTGTAAACAAACAATATGGCTTGGAGTAAATAAGGGGTGTAGTTAAATATAATTACTTGATTTAAATTTACTGATGAGTTTCCATGTCAGAGTTGTTAAGGTGACTTCTATGTTAGATAGCCTCCTTAAGTTCAATTCCCATGGGTGGTTACTTTTTTAATTTTTTTTATTATTCCTAGACCATGATACATAATTATTAAATTTTATTATAGCACCCCAGACATCTAAAAGACTACGTCTATATTTAGGGTAAACCTATGAACCAGGACTCAATATTAACATTATCCCAGGGACAATAGAACACTAGTTTGGGATGACTGTTTTTTTTTGGTGGTGGTGGTGGTGGTGGTTGGGGGGATTGACAATACAAAAATCTGAATTAAAATTCCATTAAATTTATACTAAAAGCAATTTCTTAAAATAAAAAAAAATAAAACTTCTTACTTTTCACCAATAACTTTTTGTAAATGTACACACACACACGCAAAAAAATCCAAGATTCAAGTTTAAATCCTGGTGAGACTTGAACCCTGATAATAAATTCTAAACTCACCTGTTGTAACCTTTCCGTGGTCGTAAATGGTACTTAAGGTTTGTGCATGCCAACTGCAGCTGATTATTTGTTTCATCTACTTGTCCATTTTCTGTGGAATTAAGACTGTTCTTTTGCAGGCTTAACTTTTGATGATGAAGCAGTGGAAAAATAGATGGACTTAGGAGGTTCAACATTGTTTGAATTTTGAACAGACCCAGGTTGGCAATGCCACTGGTGCTTTCGTTTAAGATAAGATGCCGAGTTTCAGAAGGGAATCTGAAAAGACACACAAACAAATTGAGTATTTTTATTATTACTGCTATCAATAAAAAAACGATGAGATTATGTAGGAATCAGTATACTAAAAAGTATTACAATAACTGAAGAAACAAAGAAAAATGCCCACTTAACAGTAAATGTTTAACCAATAACATAATATACTGGAATTAACAAAAACAAAATTATATAGGTTTATTATATTTATATTTAAAAAGATATTACAACCACAAATTTTCCTTTTATAGAAAAAAAAGTACAGAAACAATACAACCCTATCCAAATACATATGGAGCCAAAAACAGCTTAAAAAGATGCTGTAACACAAGCAAAAATTTTAACAAAAGTTGAACAAAGCTGTAATATTACACTGTAAGAAATAGTGGATGATTGCCAGACAATGCTAAATCGAAGAATTTAGCAGTTGACAAATGTACAAAAAGGAGAATAAATCCTTGTTTCAGATGTGGTAAATTATATCTTGGAAAATTACAAGTGTGGTAAACAAGGCCATATAAAGCAAATGCAATTAAAAATATGCCTCCACCTACAAATGTGACTATTTACAAGTTTTTTTTTAGGATGGGCTAATTACTATCAAATTTACATATATAATATGCTTATGTTAAGGGCTCCATTGAACAATCTACTTAAAAAAAGGAGTAAAGTGGAATTGGAAGGATAAATGTCAAAAGTTGTTTGATGAAATGAAAAAAAAAAAAAAAAAAGACTTACGTCAGATTTATCCTTTGCACACTATGACCCAAAAGCAGAAATTGTAATGGCATCAGATGAGTATGGTATTGGAGTGGTGATTTTATACAAATATGATGGTGGTAAAATGTAAGCCTTTGCCCATGCATGCTGCTACCAGCAGAGAGAAATTACAGTCAGATAGAAAAAGAAACTCCAGCGATTATATTTGCTTGAAGAAATTTCATAAGTTTTTTCATGGAAGAAATTTCACATTGCAAACAGACCACAGACATCTATTAACAATATATGGTTCAAAGAAAGGTATACCTTCTCATATGGCTAATAGACTATAATGCTGGAGTACCATCTTGTTAAACTATGAATTTATGACTGACTACCAATGGTCTAAAAAAAATTAGGACATGTGGATGGATTATCAAGCTTGATACCTAAAAATGTGGAATTATTGGAGGAGCACTAAAAAGCAAAATGGAAATAAGAAACATTTTGTGTAACGTAGTATGAGAGTTACCAGTTACCCTGGATGAAATAAAGGAAAAAGCGAAAAATGATGACTTTATTGTGAAAATCAAAAAGCAATTGAAATAAAGTAACAAAGAACAGAATCCACACTTAAATGCTTACTCGCTATGCAACAGTGTAGTAATGTATGGCCAAAGAGTTGTAATACCAATTGTGTTACAGAAATGAATATTGAAGAATTCTCATTGCAAACATCCTAGTATTTCAAGAATAAAAGACACACTGTAGTCAATATATGTGCATATAGATTTTGCAGGTCCTATGGATGGAACATATTATATTGTGGTATTTGAGTTTCACAAAACTGCTAGAAATTTATAAGTGCAAAAATCCAACATCTTCAGTGACAGTGAATTTCTTGCATGAACTGTTTGTGAGATATGGCATACCAGATACCATAGTCTCTGATAACAGAACAATTCATGGGTAAAGAATTCCAAGACTTTTGTAAGATATTCTTTAAACATGTTATGACTCCACTGTATCATTCAAGGTCAAACGAACAAGCGGAATGGTTTGCGGGAAGATTCAAAAGAGATTTAAAGCAAGTCTTGAAAAATTAAATGAGAAGAACTCCTAAATTTTCTGAGAGTTTACTGTGTAACACATAACCCCAATGTCACCATCAGGCATGTTGCTGGCGGAATTAATGTTTGCCAGAAGAGTAAAATTAGTGTTCAATAAGTCATTACAAAGTCAAAAAACATGAACAGAATAAGACAAATGACACCAAAAGTTTCAAGGTTGGCGATAAGGTGTTCTTTAGAGCATACAAGGATGGCAAAGAAACATGGGAAGACAACATAATATCAGCAAGAGTTGAGAAGTTGATTTGCATGGTAGAAGGGAAAAAACTCAAACATAAAAGACGCCATAATGAGCTGAAAGAAAGATTCATTAGAAGAACTGATAAAACTGCTATATGATGTCTTCAATGTGCCATCACCACAACAAGTCATGGAACCTACAAGGGTAAGTTCCAGAAAAAGAAAGCATACTGAAGAACTGGAAGTGGATCCAAGACAGAAACGCTACAAAGTCAAGTACGTTGACAAACTCTCCAGAAAGAGGAGGGGGACACATTAATGCTAATAAAAGTATTTACAAAAGTATTAATCTTAAAAGTTGGAGGATGTTATGGAGTAAATAGTACACCTTCGGTGACTATATGAACTAGTCCAGTACAATAAGAGCTCCAGGTCAGAGGTAAGACTAGTAGCTATTTGGAGTCAGTCTTCAGACTAACTATACAGGTGTCATGGCAAGTAGTCAAAGCATACATATAGAAAATCCTTACACAAACTATGTAATATAAAGTAAGAGTGTGTTATAAAAATAACCATATAATACTGGCATTATAATAATTTGTTGTTTGGTAGTATTTTAAGCAGATTGAATTAAAATTGCTGCAGTTTGTCAGTATGTGTTTTATGGTGAATGGCTATTGGCATGCCATACATATTATCTATAGAAACTGTATGACTGTCAGATACAATTAGTGGATGTGGCAGTGGTGGCGGCTGCTGCTGCTACTACTACTAACACTACTATTTCTCCTCCTGATTCCTTGGAGAACATAGGGCCACAACAACACCGCGGTTCTGGGCGATCCTCTTCAGCTCAGCCCATGTCATGCCTTCACCTCTATGTCAACACTTCTGTGCAAAGTCTGTTTCAGTCAACCCACTTTTCACTTCCCTTGTGGATTTCAGTCAAGGGCCTGCCTGGTGACACTTGAAACAGGTATGCGGAGTGTGTGGCCAATCCATCCCTATTTCTTGATGTCCATCTCGAGTGGGGCTTGTGTGTTCCCGTTCCACAGTTGGACGTTGGAGACGAGTGTGTACTTTTGCTTCCTTTTTAATACCTAAGATATCCAACTATGCTCATTACCTGAACAGCTTTAGGGTTGTCAACAGAATTCTGAAGGAGAAAGAATGTTCTTACCTTTTAATCCAATTTTGATATTTAGGATGGTCTAGAACCTCGACTGGTGACATGTGAACGACAAGTTCAGCAGGTAAATTATGTTGCTCTTCTTCTTTGTCCTTCATTTGCAGTGAATTCAAATGTTTATTGCTCATTAGAGAATCAAGATATTCCACGCTGGGACACTCGAGAACTGCACACACAAAATAGAAACGGATAAGATTAGTCGAAATTATTATTTTTTTAATCATTTCACCCTAAGCAAGGCAATAAAGCCACTAGGACACAAGGGAGTTATTGTTAGAGAAGATGAGAAAAACTATTATTAAGAAGAGAGGACAACAAAAGAACAAGAATTAAGGCAGAAGATAACAGTTGACATTGCTTTTAAATTTTTGAAGATCAATGTTGACTAGGAAGCAAGAAGCCACAAGAGAGTTCCACAGACGAGAAGTGCGGGAGAAGAAACTGTTAGCACAGAACTTACAGTTACATCTAGTCCTTTCAACTGTAAAATGATAAGATCTTGCTGCCAATCTAGTATTCATAAAGTCTAGGTACCATAGATGAAAGTTCATCAGAATAATTACCATGAAATTATTTATAGAAAAGCCACAGGGAAGCTATATTATGGCGGTGGAAAAGTGACAGAAGCTGAGATGCCAGGTTAGGACCAATAACATTGCACATACTTCTTTGGATTTTATCAAGAATCTTTAAATATATAGCAGGAGCATCAGACCAGATGTGGTAGCAATATTCAAAGCAAGGACGAATGGTAGACTTATAAATATGTAAGATAGAGTCTAGGAAGAAAAATTGTCTAGACTGACAGGGAACTAACTTTCTGAGCTGCAGACTTAGCAACTGATTTAATATACTCTTTCAATTTCATGTTAGTGGAAAACATTAGCCCAAGAAAGTGCAACGGGTCACTCTCCTGGAGGTTAGCATCAGCCATGCTGAAGGGGGGTAAAAAAGATTCTCTCAGATGATTAAAAGAGAGCAGTTTTGTTTTGGAGGCGTTAAGATTAACAAGCCATTCCTTGTACCATTTAACAACAGATTATAGGTCATTTTAGAGATCAACTGCCAATTTGACCATATCAAACTGATCAGAATTAGTATTATAGCAATATTATATTAGTAATTTTACATGCACACACATACAAAACTTCACATATCTATAATTATTATATACACTATTTCTCTTCTCAGCCTGTGAAGGTCCTTTGTTTGACGTAGGCCTTCCCAAAATTCATGGGCAAGAATGAGCTGTTACCCTACTGTGCTGACCCAATGTGTGTTAGTAGGGGCAGATATGACATGCTTAGGTGAACAGGTCTCTTTCTGCCCGAGGGTATTTGCACATGTGAACATAACAAACTCAACCAGAATTTGAACTTTCAAATTTCTCATTCTCCATGCCATTCTCCATTACACTACCCATATATCCAAGCTTACAGCACTTGGTATTCTTAACTAGTCAACCATCTAGATGTTGACCAAATTCAACATTGTTTAACTTTAGTGATCAGATGAGAACTGGGGTTTCAACCTGATATGGCCATAAGCCATTAACATTATTTACAGTAGGACTAACATCCTCTTTTTTGTGCTTACAATCACAACATTTCAGCCATTGTGTTCTCCAGCATTTTTCAGTTGCTTTTCAATCTGGGTTACCTTCATCTGGGGCAATGACCTAAAGGATTAAGGTGTTAGTGAATTTGGCAACAATAATTCAGGGTTCAATCACTAGACCAGGTTGACTCATTGGAAACAGGACTTAAATCTGAATAAATCATTCACTCACCAGTAATTTACAATCACGAGATACGTTGATACACATCAGAACATGACTGCAATTGTGTAGCAATTTTTACATGTTTTTCAACATAGCATCCTAAATTAAAGGATATATATATATATATATATATATATATATATATATATATACATACATATTTCATTAAATAATATAGACAAGTGTTGTCTATTTTATGTAAATTCTTTTAATAACATCTGATAAGCTTAATAACATTATCATTAAATGAAGAAAGAAAATCACAATATTAATCCATATTTTTTAATCCAATTTAAATGAAAAAATGCTGCCTAAATACACACACTATATATAAAATATTAGTGGTCAATATATATTACCAAGAGGATAGAATCCAGGTAGAGCTCAATGTTCAGGACAGGGCAAGAATATAAAAGGCTCAAATGCTAATAGTCCATCGTTATAATTTATTACCTTGGAATTGGAATCATGATCCAATTCATCAGACCTACAAATTCAAAAAGAAATTTAGTATTTGAGCCTTCTCTATATATATATATATATATATAAATATAAAAAAGATGCCTCAAATAGCATATAATATTACATAAAACTATTTATGATGGGAGGGGCAGAGAAATTAGCTTTTATTGAAAAAAAACAAGTAAAAAAATAAAACAAACCTAAAATATAAAATTACTTACTAATAATAGGATATGGTTTTTCTGCTGGACTGAGAACTTGGTCAGGCATTACCTATAAAGTAAAGATAATTCCAAAGTTTGACATTTGCAGTGATTATAAAAAATAAATTTAGAAGTTTTACTCATTTTTCAATCAAACTATACAAATATTTAATTTTGTGACTATTCATAAGAGGAACACTATTTTCAAATCTCAAGACAGAAAGGCTACTTCTACTGCTGTGGACGCACTTATACATCTTTACAAAACTTACAACAGCTAATGTTGACACACATATTCAAGGTATACTTACATGTCTTTACATTGCCTGTTGTCAGATATGTGTGTGTGTGTGTGTGTGTGTGTGTGTGTGTGTGTGTGCGTGTGTAGTGAAAGAGTTATAGTTGTTCCAATGAGAGAAAAACGTATATTTTCTGGAAATCCTCATGGGGCAATATTAACTAATTCCCCACTCTACTTCAGAACTTACAATGAAAAATCAAATTCACCCAAGAATATAATTTTAATGAATTACCATTTTTAGATATACTCTTTAGAAATAGAAACAATCTTCATTTCAAGAGGCATCACCCCAAAATCTGTCTGAAACCCCACCCCCCATTCCCTAGTACGTATGGTTTGCACTATAGTGACCAACAAACACCTCATAAAAATCTGCCTAGAAGAAATATATAGAACTAAATAAAAAAAAAAACCAAACAAGGCTACCCAACAACACTAATAAACAAAGATTTTGAAGTAACAGAAAAAACACCTCTAGACCAACTATGAAATAAAAAAAAAAAAACATAACATTGAATAAACCGTATCAAATGTCTCAACATACAATGCAGAAATATAAGGAATAAAATATAATATATATACTAAAAGAAATCCACATTATAACCAAAAACATTTGTGATTCCTATCTTTCTTTTAAAGATATATATACATATATATATATATAAAGAAATATAGTCTTAAGGTGTGCTATATTTATGGGATAAAGTGCTCAATATCGGAGATAGAGCATGTGTAAATAAAAGTGAACATTGAAGGTGACAGTCTGTTTTATGCTAGACACAATCGTCAGGCCACAAGTGCTGTTATTTTTCTCAGCTATTTATATATACGAGTCAGTGGTGCATTGTGGGTAGTCTATTTTGGCAGTTATTTTTACCGGAAGTCGTTTATTTGTTTATTTATTTGGGTTAAATTATTTTGCTTGTCATTATTTATTTTTATTTTATTTTTTATCTTTATCTTATATATTTTTTTTTTTTTTTTTAATCGGTGTTTTTATTAACGTAGTAAAAATTTGTTTATATTGCTTATTTAATAGTTTTGTTTAGGTTTAGGAAGATAAAGCTTTTTATTCAATTTTGGGGTTGATTATTGTAGTTTATTCTATTATTTTGGCGGGAACAGTTATTTATTTGGATTGATTGTCTTTATTTGGTTTTTTTTTTAACAGTTAATTTATTGGGATTGGTTTGTTAGTTTATTTATTGATTTATTTGGATGAATTTAGATTAATTTATTTTACTTGTTTTTTTATTATTTATTTATTATACTGTATATTTTTATTTACTCTTTTCGGATTTCAATTTTTAAGTAATATATTTTCTCTTTTTATCGTTATATAACAGTTATAGCTATGTTTTTCGTCTAATTTTTGGTTTAATTTTTATAGAAAAATAGAATTACCAACATTCACAAGAAACATCATATAATGCAAGAGATCAATATTTTGGTCATAATGGTTTGTTAATTTGTTTATTATTTACTTTATTTGGGTTCATTGATTTTATTTTTTATTTATTTATTCTATTTCATCTATTCTAACAGGTGTGATTTGGTAATTTGTTTGGGTTAATTTATTTTACTTATTTTATTGTCATTTTGTTTATTTATTTATTTGTTTATTTTTCTTTTCTTTTTATATTTTTTCAGTTTTCAATTTTTAAGTAACGTAGTAAAAATTTCAGTTCACTAATTGAAAATGCACATTAATCAAGGGATTACTTTATATGTTTCCAAGACACTTTGAAATGTTAGTCCTTAACATTATGAACTAACTCATACTTAGTGATATTTCGAAGCCAGTATAGTCAAATAGTAGCATACAATATGACTGGTTTTAGCTTCATTACATTGTGTGAGGGGAGGGTTTGTTTAGCTTTGTCTGTACTGCAGAGCAACTGATTGAAACTAAAACAGCAGCATCCATGAGAAATCGCCATTATTCTGATAGTCATCTATTTCGAGTAAATAGCAATTTCCTATTCCCCCTCCCAGCACAACTAGTCAACAATAAAACAATGAAATGTTCAAACATTTTCAATTTCTTGGAATAATATTTTTACTAAACTTAGCTTATAAAAGACCAGTGTAAGGGCGTGAATAGTGTGAATCAAATTCAATATATTAATGAACTGTCTTCATGATGAATTTGTTATCTTGGCAGCCATCTTGTGGGTGGTTGTTACATCAGCTAATTCTACTTACCACAGTCCCATCTTGTAATGTAATAGATTCTTCATTCTTTAAAATTCCTAAAAGTGGGCCACTGTTGGGGAAAGCAAAAATGGATGGAATATAATGGACATGTTGATGTGTAATAAGGAAATTTTTTTTCTTTAAAGTCAAGATAATTTTACATAAAGAATATTATAGCTGTGTATATGCAAGCAAAGTTCAAGTGAAATCAAAAATAGAATTACCAACATTCACAAGAAATATCATAATGCAAGAGATCAAGAATATTTCAAGCTAATCATGGACGTTGAAAGTCATAAAAAAAAAAAAAAAATAAAGTAGGAGAAAAAAATTTTCTTTGTCTTCTTGGAATCTATTTTTGAAAAAAATTAACAAAAGAAAAAAAAGAAAAGGAATCTATAAGTAATGAAAAGAATTTACTTTAACTGTTTGGTTAGTGAGGGTTAAAAAGTGAGAGAAAAAGTGAAAAAAGCGAGATTTAAAAAAAATAAGAGAAAAAGTTGGAGAGAAAAAAAAGTGAGATTAAAAAAAAAAAAAAAAAAAAAAAAGAAAAAAGTGAGAGTTGTGAAAAAAGTGAGGAAAAATTAGAATGATGTGGACATGAATCATATTTGATGAAAAAACAAGACCACCACCACCACCACTATTGTATTTCATGGGGTAGGGGTGACATTACTGGAGCTTCATTCACATTACTTATTTGATTAAGTATATAAACGTTCAAACATTTATAAATTTAAGTAATTCAAGTATTTGGGGAGGACACGTTTGTATGAACATCAAATACAAATTTAAACATCTTTATTCACCAGCCACCCAAGAAGCATTGTTAACCAATTTACTGTGGCAGAAATTCCTGTCATTTGCAGTTAAGGCATAAAACGACAATGATGGAAATTCCTATCAATTGCCATAAACAGACTGAAAAAGAAGGAGGTAACACTTACACTGGCACATTAAGATCCACACATTTTTCAAGGATCAGTCGACGTTTACCTGCATGTGGCTGCACAAAAAAAAAAAAAAAAAAAATTACAAATAAAATATTTTAAAAAAGTAAAAATTTGCTGAAAGAAATTAGTTGTGTCCAGAATTTAATTCTGCATAAATCGGTATACAAATTTATTCAATTGTATTCAATAAATTTGCAAGAAAATATAAATCATGTGGCCAAAATAATGAAAAAGGAAGAGTTTTTGTTGTATACTGACAACTGAAATTACAGGGTGGAAATCATAATAAATATTGGCAGAAAAATAAAAATCAATAGTCAGAGTTCAAATTCCCACCAAAACTGTAGCATTAACTTTGCACCAATGCTTTTGTGAAAGGCATGAATCCATCAGTTTCTCCAGCTATGGGTAAAAGAGTAGGGTAAACTGTGGTCTCTATCCTTGTTGTAACAGTTTCAGAGAAAGACAACTTGGAATTAAAAACTGTAGAGAAGCCAATGAGACACCACACCATTATCTTTCCCAAGAATAATAATGGCAACACACAGTTTACGGAATATGAGGGATAAGGAAACAATGGAGAGCTGTGATTTCCTACATCCTAAGGAGGAAAAGAGCGCTTAAACATGGATAGTGGCCACATAAATATTAAACAGAGATTGTGGCTATATAAAAACTGAGGATGAATTCCCCATTATAAGGTACCCGACAAAGACAGATTTCAAGGAGAAATCATGCCTCATCAGAAAAGAGTATTGTCCTAGTTCATTAAAATGTAGGTTCACTTGAGCCAGGCAGTGTAATTGGATTCTGTGGAAACTGGGCAAGCAATAACAGAACAGTACTAAATAAGAACGCAATGAAATGTCCCTAGATATGAACAAGACAAGGGTAGTCTTCTCCCCATATATTAAATAAAGCATTCAGTTTGAAATTCCCTGAAGGTTACCCAGGTTGAAAATCACTTTATGTGAGGCTGAAAGGCCAAACCTCCAAAACATTGTGATAACAACAAAAGGTGAGGACAATAGTCTGTGTGTAATTAACACCTCACCCCAGAAATTAAAACAATTTTTTTA